TCATATTCATCACCCAACTTCCCCTAATATTAACACCTTATATAGCTGGAGCACAGTTATCAGAACTAAGAAACTAACATAGGTACAATACTATGAACTTTGCTACAGAACTGTATTGGAATTGAACCAGTTTTTTTTACTGATGTCCGTTTTCTGTCCTAGGATCCTGCACAGAATTTGGCCCTCTGATCTTTGCTGATCCCCCCGTCTTTTTTTTTTTTTTAATTTCGTATCAATGAGGGTACAAATATTTAGGTTATATTGTTTTCAATTCTAAGGTGAATTTCAAGTTGTAGATGAGCCCTTGATCCACAGGGTGTGCTGAACATCCCCACATTGTGCAGATCAGGTGAGATCCGGCCAGTCACCCTCCGTCTTCTCCCTCCCCTTCCCCTGGCTAGACTATAACTGTGTTTCTTCTCTTCTGTGTTTGTGTGTAGTTGTTTATATACTGGCTTTATGTTAGTATTGAGTACATTGGATACTTCTTATTCCATTCTTGAGATATTTTACTAAGAAGAATGTGTTCCAACTCCATCCAGGTAAACACGAAAACTGTCAAGTCTCCATCTTTCCTTACGGCTGAATAGTACTCCACAAATACCACAGGTTGTTGATCCATTCATGGGTTGCTGGGCGCTTGGGTTGCTTTCACATCTTCACAATTGTGAACTGAGCTGCAGTAGACATTCTGGCGCAGATGTCCTTGTGGGGAAATGATTCCTCCAGACTTTGTCTTTTATGACCTTGGAGATTATTTATAGTTTATATTGTAGAAGGTCCTTCTGTTTAGGTTTGCCTGCTGTTTTCTCATGGTTACCTCAATATTATGTACTTTGGGCAAGAATAACACAGGAGTGATAGCTGTAGTGTGAGGGGGACCATAAGGTCGATATATCTTCTCATTGATGGTGTTAACCATGGTCACGTGGTAAGGTGGTATCTGCCAAGTTTCTCCACTGCCATGTGACCATCTTCCCCTTTGTGATTGATATCATATTGGGAGAGGTACTTCAGGCCTATGCAAACGTACTATTTCTCCTGAAGCTTTCGTCCTCTAATTCTAGCGTCCACTGGCTGATCTGGCCTGACTGTAGCAATTATTACCAGGGCATTTGCTCCGTAGCAACTTTCTGTTTCCCACAGCTCTTCCACATTTATGAGTGTAAATCCCTCCCGAGGGAAAAACCTCCCCTTCTCTCCCAGTTATCTATTTATTTATTCCAGCACTTCCTTTGCTGTCAGTGTGGCCTTTGAGATTTGTCCTCTATTCTCTGGGTTACAGCCCAGTACCATCGCTCTTTATTGTATTGCTCAGAGTGGCCCCTGGGAGCTCTGTCGTTGACTCCTCTGTCCTCTTGGCATGCCCTCACGATAGGTGGAACACTTGCTTGCTTTCCGGTAATAGAAGATTCTCCAGGTTCATCTTGTAGAGTCACCCTGGCATCAACCACTCCCTCAAGGATCCAGGTTCTCTTCGTTGGGTAAGGGGATTTAGAAGCCAAGATCTGGGTGCTAGATGTGCTTATTGCTGTTGGGGTGCACTCCCTCTCAGCAGACAGGGCTAGGAAATATACGTACATGTTCACATTAACCCATGCACACGCACAAAGCAGTAGTTATGGTTTATCTCTCTATCCTGCCTGTTCAGTTTTTAAAGATCTTGACTTCATACGTAGGCTCTCAGTTCCAGTCCAAAGCCTCGGGGCTCGCGTTAGCCTCCTCACTCACGTCCTTTGCATCTTCTTTCTCTGACTGTGGGAAATCTTGCTCTTATTGTTTATATTTTCTTATTTGTTCAACCATAGTATGTGTAAAAGATAATTTCGGAATTGCTAACGTACAGCTCCGTGAGAAACACACGCCAGGTACAACTGCAGTACGCTGTTTGTGCACGATTCTTTGTTTCTTTAGCCTCACGGAATCCAGTGAAAATAATGTTTCCAGAGTTCTGTTCTTCCCCACGCCCTTCAGTGTGCTGGTTTTATTCCTCATAATATAGTTATGTTCCTTTGTTACTTTTTATTTTAATCATTAATTTTAGGGTATGTGAAATATTATCACGGTTCGAAGAAAGACACTTCTCTGAGTACATTTATACAAATAAGTACTGAGATAGATGGTTATACTGAGTATATCCGTGAAAATAGGTACACCCAGAGAAGTATGCGTACTCTCATCCTTTTAAATTTTGTTTTGTTCTTATTTCTTCGTTTTTGCCCTTTCTGCTCTGCCACCTCTAGGTTACCAGTCTCTTTAGTTTTTGGCTTATCCTACTGTATTTCTTGTATTTCTTCTGTACAGATAAGCCAATACATGTATTTTTTTTTTTTTGAGATAGAGTCTCACTATGTCACTCTCAGTAGAGTGCTGTGGCATCCTAGCTCACAGCAACCTCAAACTCTTGGGCTTAAGCGATTCTCTTGCCTCAGCCTCCCAAGTAGCTGGGACTACAGGCACCTGCTGCAATGCCCGACTGTTTTTGTGGTTGTTATACTTGTCACTGTTGTTTGGCAGGCCTGGGCCAGGTTCGAACCCACCAGCCCTGGTGTAGGTGTCTGGCTCCCTGACTGCTGAGCTCCAGGCACCGAGCCATGTATTTTCTCTTATACCCTCTTCTTTTACTATATACAGAGGACAAAGCGTTAGAGATAATCTTTTGCATTTTGCTTTTTTCATCTAATAGTATATCCTGGGAATCATCCATTATAGAGATTGTCAAAAGTAATATTTTTATTTATTTTTATTTTTGAGACAACATTTTGCTCTATCACCCCGGCTAGAGTGCTATAATCTCAGCCTACCTCACAGCAACCTCATACTCCTGGGCTCAAGGGGTCCTCCTGCCTCAGCCTCCCGAGTAGCTGGGACTACAGATGCTTGCCATGATGCCTGGATAATTTTGCTATTTTTAGTAGAGATGGGGTCTTGCTTTGCTAAGGCTGGTCTTAAACTCCTGGCCTCAAATGATCCCCCCACCTCAGCCTCCCAGATTATAGGTGTGAGCCACCGTGCCTATATAATGAACCATTCAACCTTTAGAGTCAGAAAAATAATTCTAGCATCCCAAGGATCATTTATAAAATTTGGTAAACCTAATGGTGGTGGTGATGATGATGATAGATAAAATAGGCTTTGCCACTAATTTAGCATCCGCTGTATGCTACGCTCTATACCAAGCGTTTTGTGGCAGTTATCTCACTGAATTCTTACCAGAGCCCTGTGGAGTTGATGGACTTCCAGTTTGCTGAGGAAGAAACTGAAGTTCACCAATATTTAGAAATGTGCCCAAAGTCATAAAAAATAGGGCCAGAATATGAAACCAGGACTGTGCTGAGTTTGTGCCTGGAGAAGAGCACATCAGCCCCAAGACAGAAGTTCCAGGTTGAAAAAAAGCTGCTTGAGTTTTTAAAAATCTGGAGTATCCTGGCCTTAAAACCCTGTTGACTGTGAATTGACTGCTGCCAAAGTCAGCACGTTACAGATGGCAGGAACATACATGTAATTTATTGCCTGTTTGTTCCCAAGAAATAGTCCTTCTTTCTTGGCCTCTAAGACAGGGGGCAAGAGGGATGCTAGGTAGGGTCTGCTACCTGGGACGACATAGCCATAGATTCCATCTTACACCTCTTAATCGCACGCCAGAGCACCAGCTCCATTAACAGGAAAGTACATCACCCCACAGGGCTGTTTGGTTTAGGAGGACACTCCATCAAGCCCGAGTTACAGCAGTTTCTGCTAAAACTGTTTGTACGGCAAGATGGAAGAGGAATTTCTGCAGAGCAGAAGTCTGGCTTCTGTTGTGAGAAGTGACAGCCTTTGGCACAGGGGCAATGCTGTTGAGTAGCTTGAAATCGTGGCTTCTGGCGTCTGCATGCCCAGACCTCACTCAGTGCTCGACTTTCTAGCTGTGTGACTTTGGGGAAGCTACTTCGCCTATCAAAGTGGTGATAAGAACAATGTTCATGAGTGTTTAGGGTCCCCTAGACCAGCCCCAGCTTCAGCAATTCTCTAGGAGGATTCACCGAACTAGGCCTGTGGTCCCACTCACAGCTATAATGTATTACAGCAAAAGGATACAGAACAAAATCAACTAAGGTAAAAGATGGACTGAATGAAGTCCGTCCAGAGGAAGCGAGGTTCAGGCTTCCAAGAGTCCTCTCCCAGCTGAGTCGCAAACGCTGCACTTAATTCCTTTAGCAATGGGTTGTGACAACATGTGTGAAATGTCAGCTAGAAAGAATGCTCAGAGAGACTCAGTGACCAGGGATTTTATCAGGGGCCGATCACATAGGTGCCCCTCTGCCTAGCACATGCTGAAATTCCAGGGGCCTGTAAGGAGGCAGGAGTTTAAACAGTATTGCTTGTATAAACAACTGAGGCACAATGAGCTGCTCTTATCAGTCGAGGTGTTGGTAACTGTCCCCCAAATCCAAATTCTCAGCCTCTAGCCAAGCAGGAGCCAACCTTGCAAGGCTTTCATAAAGAGAGCAGCTTCAGGTCTTTTTTCTTGGGTCATCTCTGCATACCACCCCCTTGCATGGGTGCTGGGTGGGGCGAGTGAGATAATTCGTGAAGAGCGCAGACACATCACCTCGTACCGTGAGCACTCGCTAAACGTCCACTGCTGTGACTTTGACATTCAGGGAGTGAATGTGGGTTGGTTCTTCTGTACTTTACGACTGGCTCATCATCCCTCTACTCACCCACGCTCCATTCTTTCCTTTGTTCCTGTTTGATTGGCGCCTGCGTCATGCGGTGGCTGTGTTAGCCTCGTGGGGATTTTGAAAGGGCAAGATTAGCCACTCCGTCTCTGGAGGATGTCGTGTGTGAGTGTCCAATCTGGCAGGGCGTTTGAGGTGGGCGGTGGTGATAAGAAACCTCTGGGGACGTCAAGGTAAATCAAAAAGGACTCACACGTCCAGAATCAGTGGGATGGGTGTACAGCGACCTAAGAATGTAACTCCTGATGTCTCGCTGTTGGTCTTTTTCTCCTGCAGCCAAAGCCAAATCCAAATGCGGCCCGACGTTCTTCCCCTGCGCCAGCGGCATCCACTGCATCATCGGCCGCTTCCGATGTAACGGGTTTGAGGACTGTCCCGACGGCAGCGATGAAGAGAACTGCAGTAAGTGCCGGCCGGATGCTGCTGACCCTCGTTACCCTCCACCCAGCCAAACCTGTCCCTGTGGGCTCCTCTCTTCTCCGTCCCTCCTAAACCCACAGGCTCAGGCTCTCCCGGCTCCTCAGATTCTTTTCTTTCCCACATCTTTCTTGTGAAAACCTATGAGTTCCCAGCCGCCACCCACGGGGGACTCTAATAAGCACACTGGGTTTGGGCACTTCGTTTTCAGTTCTGACAACAGCTCGGCAAATGCAGGTGAATCGTCCCTAATCAACAGATCAGGAACGTCAGGTGGGAGAAGTAAATTAACTGACCCAGGGTCTCGTAGCTCAACAGCGGCAGAGCCACTTCCAACTTCTTCCTGCTCTGTGATTCAACACCCCACGTTTACGTGCCTGCTGACCTTCCTTCCTAGAATTCTTTTTATTTAAAACAGTGTTTATATACTAATTATATGCATACTGTATGAGTACATTCTTGAAGAAAAGTCCATGTGGCATAAACTCTTCTTTGTGACTGCCCTGATTTGTTTTTGTTTTACCTGCTGTGTAGTATTCCATATGTCAGTATGCTACACACACACACACCCCCACACACATCCATCCTCTCCATCCTTGCCTATCAGCAGGCTTGCTGTTGAGCTTAACTACTCATTGGCCTAGATATATGCAGACTCTTCCTTTCTGCATCTCCACGTCCACAGTGACTTCACACATAACAGCCTCCGTGACAATCATTTGTCTCTGCCCGGCTTTAAAACCACTCCAGCCATCCCAGCAAATTCGTTTGTAGTGACCACTGGTCACTGTGGTCACTGGGTCCTTCTTCATTCCTTTCTCCTAAATGTTTAGTCTACTTGTGCCTTTGTATCATCAGCTCTGATTAAACATACATATCCATTTTCTGTGGTTACATCTATTATGTGTGTATATATATATACATTTTTTTTCTTTTTTTTTGGAGACAGAGTCTCAGTTTGTCACCCTCGGTAGAGTGCCATGGCTTCATAGCTCACGGCAAACTCTTGAGCTGAAGCCATCTTTTTGCCTCAGCCTCCCGAGTAGCTGGGACTACAGGTGCCCACCATGACGCCTGGCTGTTTTTTAGAGACAGGGTCTCACTCTGGCTCAGGCTGGTCTTGAACTCCTGAGCTCAGGTGATCCACCCTCCTTGGCCTCCCAGAGTGCTGGGATTACAGGGGTGAGCCACCACACCCAGACATAAATATATATATATATTTAAAGACTTCATATTTTAGAGCAATTTAAGGATCAGAGCAAAGTAGAAAGGAAGGTGCAGAGATTTGCCATCTCTCCCTCCCCCCACAGGCACCGTCTCTTCCCCTCCATCAACCTGCCCCTGCAGGGTGGTGCCTTTCTGATGGCTGCTAAACCTGTACTGACACAACATTATCACCCCAAGTCCAGGTTCACGTTAAGGTTCACTCCTGATATTGTGCTTTCCGTGGTTCTGACAGATGTGCAGTGACACACACCGGCTGCCACCCTAGCAGCATGCAGCATGGTTTCCCTGCCCTGCTCTTCCCTTTCTGCCCATCCCACTTAGCATATTTAAATGACATCTCTCTTATGATTATTGTAAAGAACTTGGAAAATAGAGAAAAGCGTAAAGATGTGCGCCCAAAGCCATAAATTAGAATGAAACACTGTTAATATTTAGGCCCTTTTATTTCTGTTCTTCTCTCTCCGTGTACAGGGTGGATATACAGTTCCTGTGCAATTTAAATTAGTTTACTAATTAGTAATTAAAGAGTAAACTATTTTAAGTTGCACATGAACTCAGTGTGCACTCTGTATAATATGTGTGTATATACGTGTATATATAATATACACACACACCCTTCTCTAATGAACTTACTTGCAGTGTCCTTTATATTGTAACCATTTTCTTATGTTGTTAATTTTTTTCCCCCCGAAACCTAAGTTCTAATGACACAGGAAGTTTGTAACTTTCCCATGTTCTTCCTCCTGTGGCCTTAGTTCATCTCCAGGGTCTCAAGTGGCAGAAATCTGTCGCAGGCTGGAGGTTTTTGTATGGTTAGTAGAATGATGCTAAGTACCTTAGCAGGGAGGATGCATGTCACTAACAGGATGGGGTCTGGCTGGGAGAAGCGACTGCAGCCAGAGGCCGGGGGCTCGGATTTGTGCTCTGCCCTGAAGAAGCATGACGAGCTGCGTCTTCTCCTTACATAGTGCTGCTCTTGTTTTTGCACTGGGGGTGCTGAGAGCCTGCTTCTCGGGTTACCCTGAGAACTAGATGAAATCGTATCTGAAAAGTGCTTAGTTCAGTGCCTGGCACAGAGTAATTGATTTCAAAAATGAGTGGTTCAAAACAAAACTCTTGAGAGGCTCAGCGCCTGTAGCGCAGTGGTTACGGCACCAGCCACATGCACCAAAGCTGGTGGGTTTGAGCCAGGCTCAGGCCAGCTAAACAATGACAACTGCACCAAGAAAATAGCTGGGCGTTGTAGGGGGCACCTTTAGTCCCAGCTACTCAGGAGGCTGAGGCAAGAGAATCACTTAAGCCCAAGAACCTGAAGTCACTATGAGCAATGATGCTATGGCACTCTACTGAAGGTGACATAGTGAGACTCGGTCTAAAAAAAAAAAAAAAAAGCTCTTGCATGATTAAAGAGAGGACCACATTTACTAGGATTTTGTGTTTGGTTTGGGGTCTGCAAGGAGGTAGTTCATTTATATTTCATTTGGTCCTTTAGTACATGTGTATTAGCTTGATCTCAGCTTCCTACTGCTTAGGGGGGTCTTATAAACTAAGGGAGACATTTTATTACAGTACACGTATATACACACAAGTGCATGCTGGGGAGTGATCCAGTGGCCATAAAGAGCAGGTGGAACCCAGTACAGTACATCGTAGATGGACACCATATACGTACAACATGCAGTACGTACATTCAGTGATTTTGCCATCAGACATATTCCCTGCCATAAAGACCCAGTGTGATATAAATATTTGGATATTGGTCTTTAATTTTCTAAATGACTAAATTATATCCATTCCGAATATGTCAAGAGGGATGAAGCCAACATTTTCCTCTGGCATATCTATGATTTAAAAAGAATATAAATGTCTTAACACAATAACTAAGAAAATGCCATGAAGGCTATGTTAACCAGTTTGATGAAAATATTTCAAATTGTATATAAAACCAG